ACCCGAGGGAAGAATCTGATATGCAAGTATCACCAAAAACAAAGAAGAAAAACAGAAGCAGCACATTCAGGAAGAAAAAAACTTTAAAAAGGAGCAAAGTTTCATTAAGGTCAATAACAACCTAAGATATTGTGTGGATGGGAGGCAGGAAATGAATACTAGTCTAAAACAACATACCAAAGGGGACAAAGAGCTCTTGGAACTTAAGAACATGGCAGAGGGCGCCTGGGTGGCTCAGTTGGTTAAGCGACTGCCTTCGGCTCAGGTCATGGTCCTGGAGTCCCTGGATCGAGTCCCGCATCAGGCTCCCTGCTCGGCGAGGAGCCTGCTTCTCCCTCTGACCCTCCCCCCTCTCATGTGCTCTCTCTCTCTCTCATTCTGTCTCAGATAAATAAATAAAATCTTTAAAAGAAAAAAAAAAAAGAAGAACATGGCAGAAATTAAAATAAAGGTGAGGGAAAATTCCAGAAATTAGAAAAAAACAACAAATAAATGAGAAATCTAGGATAGATAAGAAGTGTACAGGCTGAGTCCAAAGGACACAATATCCAAATAATAACCCTTCCAGGATGAAAGAGGAGAGAAAAGTGTGAGGGCTCCAAGGATGCGAGAGAGCAGGGTTCAGAGATAAACAGAAGCATATTAAAAATTTAAGGGTTTATTTAAGCAAAAATAGATTCAAATCAGGCAGCGCCATCCTGGAAGGAGTTAGGAGTACTCTACCCACAGGAGCCTGGGGAAGACAGAGAAAGTACAGACACAGAGAAAGGAAATTATTGGTTGGCTGTAGCTTAAAGCCTAGTTGGCTGTTTGTGATTGGTTTTCCTTAGCATTTGATTTTGTAACTTTGAGGCATTGACAGGCTTAGATTTTGAGTTGCTTCTATAGACCATCACAGCTTTAGAGTCGCCTCAGTTTAATGGCCTCCTTGTTTAATTAGTGTAATACAAGTCAAGAGAACATCTTCCAGGGTCTGTGCGAAGGAAGTTCCTAAGATCTATGGAGCAACCCTAGAAAGCAAACAGTCCGGACAGGTTGTAAACCTCTGCTAGAAACCCTGATGTGATTTGTCATACCAAGAGAAGATTTATATAACCTGGGATCTGAGGAGTTGAATTCATGATTAATACAAGAAAACTAAACAAAGATACCAAGACAATAAACAACTACAGGGAAAATATATCCTAAGAAAAGGCAAGTAGTCCTGGTATGCTACATGACTTGTCTGTGAATACTGTTTACGTAGTCATACTGACGAAAAGAACAAATATTGATCTTATAAAAAATTCAGACAAAACTGTGTTGGAAGAATGTGGGGAGCCCACAGGACAAGAAACATACGTGAGTATGGTGCCTGTATAGCATCTTTCGTAACAGAAGGTAAATAATTAGCACTGAAGAATAATTAAATAGTAACAGTTGTATGTTACTTAGCAATATAGCAACAGTGTCTGGGGAAGTAAGAAATGAAGGGCTGCTCTTGGAGAAATTTGACTCTTCAAATTGTATGCATATCTAATTTTGATATAAATAAAGAGGTAAAAAAGTAAATTTTAAAAAATAACATGGTAGGGAGTTTTCTTGTGAGGATCGAGAATGTACATCTATGAGAAGCATGAAAAATAATCAATCGTGATGTTATACAAATGGGTACTTGTGATTTAGGATAAAATTTCTAGTGACATCATCTTGTTGGATTGCAAAATAGCCGTAAAAGACGAGAAAGTGATGAGTTTTGAAAAAACCTGTAGATGACTCAAAAATGTAGCTCTAGTAGAACAAAAACAACTAAGAGTTTGAATTAAAATTATTTTATGAACTCTGACTAAGGAAAAGGCAGTATTTTAAATTTAATGTATATCATACAACATGGCATTTGTGTCATTGTTCTTTGTCCTTTGTCAGCCTTTCAGTTCTATACATTTGACCAGTTTACATTGAGATTTCAAGCAGTTGTGAAACTATTTTGTCTTTTTGAGAACTCAATAACCATGTGCTACCCTTCTTTGCTAGACCACACTCCTGACCCTTTTAGGGTAACCTCCCCGCCATATGATGGTTTGTATGGCCTTCCCAGCTGGACTCACTTTGCAAAAGAGAGTTTCATGGCTAATAACTTCATGAGATTTAACCATCCCTGTCCCCCCATTTTATGCAACTTTTTTGGGGTTTCATGGCTGGTGCTTAGAGCAGAGCTGCCTAGCTTATAGTTAGTATCAATAAATATGTATTAAACAAATGATTCTGTGGTGAACTTCAATCAAATTCGAAGCATTAAGTGCTAGTGTATTCTCATTCAAAGGGTCACAAATTCAGAAGCCCTCAGGGGTGAGGCAAGTCAGTGAATGAGATCCATCCAGGGAGGACCGTGCCAAATGGGAAATTGAAGGCTCCATCCAAAGGGGGGAGTTGGAAAGTGTCCAGTGTTGCTAGATAATCATAACAGTAAACATTTACATGGTGCATTGCATGTGCACTGCTCTGATCGGATGGCTTTCATGTAAAAACTCAATCCTTGCTACAAAAACTCTGAGGTAAGCACTATTATTGTTCTTCACCCCTTTTTGCAGATTAGAAAACTCAGGTGCCTAAAGACTATGCACTCAAACGCACATGGCTGATAAGTGGCAGAGCCAGGATTTTGGACCCAAGCATTCTGGCTGCCAGGTCCCAGCTCTTAATCATTCTACCATATTGCCTCTCCAATTTTTTTAAAAGAAGCTGTACATGTGCATGAAATCTACTAGTTTTTAAATGTTGGCAACTGGGGCGCCTGGGTGGCTCAGTTGGTTAAGCGACTGCCTTCGGCTCAGGTCGTGATCCTGGAGTCCCGGGATCGAGTCCGACATCGGGCTCCCTGCTCGGCGGGGAGCCTGCTTCTCCCTCTGACCCTCCCCCATCTCGTGCTCTCTCTCTCTGTCTCATTCTCTCTCTCAAATAAATAAATAAAATCTTAAAAAAAATAAATAAATAAATAAAATAAATGTTGGCAACTATTCTAATTTTTTAAAGCACTACCAGTCAAGCAAAGCATGCTTGGTTTGTGACTTCTTCTCGGGTAGTGGAGAATTAAAACATTGGTACTGGGGTATGCAAACGATGTCTGAGCCCCCAGAGCCACATATAACACTCCTGGTAGGTGCGGTGGCCACAGTGCCAGGACCTCGTACAGATTTGGACCCACTTCCGGGTTCAACTTCATCACTCCAATGGGCATCTACCCTGATGAGCTTTTCAGGCCTCAATTATGGTCTTGTTTAAAGGAGAAAGAGAAGAATCTAGTAAACGTGAGAATGGCCACCATATGTGTCCATATGCCTTAATAACTTTCAAAGCTCTCTGAAAAGCTGTGTGGGTTTGTCCAAGAGGCCCCAGTGCTATTTTCCTCTGTTGCAAAGATGACAGGATGGGTTTGATGTATTTTGTTGCCTCCACTATTGTTTCATTTCAGACCATTTCAGTGGAACGTGGATTTTATTAAAAACCAGGGGAAACATTGAGTGCTCTGTGGTGGTTACTACAGCTTGGCAAAATAGAGTAAAAATCATTGGCAGATGCTTAAAAAGTTGTATTTTCTGGTAATAACAAAGTTTTTGTCTTTGAGCCCTATGCCCAAAACAATTTGCAGTTGTAAAATATGACATGTATAAAAATGCTAAATATTTATATTTCTCTAGAGGGATTATGTCAAATCATTGAGTGGAGGTTTAAATTATGAATTAATTGTAGTGAATAGAATGTTTTGCATACTTTGCTAGAAGCTAAGAATAATGATTGAATGAAGTCCCATTAATATTTACTATGGGCTAGTTTAGACAGTGGGTAAGGTATTGGTATATGTATTTGCTTTTTCTTTCAATGTTGTGTTGAGATATTAAACCATCTGTTCTTATCCATAAACATTTTCCTGGGATTCAGATGGGATTATGGGATATGATATGGTTCTATGATTATTATGGGGTGATCAGTCTGTTTATAATAAAATGTTACTTTAGGGGCCTCTTAATGATCCTTAAAAGGAAATCACTACAGATTTCAAACTGGCAAAACATCTCCTCTTGGAGGCAATTTTTTTTTTTTATAAATGTCAGTATGGGTTATTTTAATTATCAAACACCCTAAATTAAATGTAAACTTTCTAGATCAAGATGATATTTTTGAACTTATGTGAACTATAACTCATTTTCAGGATTAATTCTACAGTAGACTCAAAACTAATTGCTTTTCATTCTCATCAAATGGAAATATCCCTGAGAGAAGTTATAAAGCCAAAAACTGACCACTGTGCAAGATAATAGAATAATCTGTAAACTCAATAAAAGTTGTATGTGCATATTTAGAATGCAAATATGTATAAAAATATAATTAAGTCAAATATTTACTACTGTCAATAAAATAAAATATTCACATTCCAGAACACTTCAGAGCATTCTAGGTATAAATGTGTAAGCAAAATTTTAAGATTTACAATCTATCTAGCAAAAGATTTCCTTCTGGAAAAAAAAAAAGAAGAACTTTAAATCAGTGCATCTCATGCACTTTCCAACCCTGTATGCTTGAGTAATATGGCACAGTCCCATAAAAAGTGATGTCTCCTCACCAAAAAGAAGTGAAGGAAGAAGTGGGAGAAGGGAGCACATATGAATACCACTAAGGGGAGCCCCCAGTTGCTTCTGATAGTCTCCTATTGGGGTATTCACCCTCCACCTTTCTCTTGGGAATCACAAGTTGAAATAGATTTAAACCTGATGCACAGCTCTGCAATTGCTTTCTCCAATTGCAAATTTGACTTTGCTTTAGTTTTTAAGTTTATAAATACCTCAACACAAACATTTTTATATCAAGAAGATGTAATGTGCACATTTTCTAATTCATTTGCTGAACATCTTTGCTTTGCATACAAACTGTACTTGCATTAACCATTGCTATAAAACAGGAAATGTATGGTGTGGGTGAATTATGGATATAAAGATGTGACTATTCTAACTTCATTATTACAGCACCATCTAGCAGAAAACCAGGAGATCCTCTTGTCATATCAGATATCAAGAAAGGAAGCGTGGCACACAGGTAAGGAAAATGAATGTTCTGGTTCATTCCAGGCATTTCTTTTTCTTTAAGTAACTCTACCCCCAACATGGAGCCTGAACTCATGACCCCAAGATCAAGAGTTGCATGCTCTACCGACTGAGCCAGCCAGGTATAAGGCATTCCTTAATTAAAGTAGAAATGAGGGGCGCCTGGGTGGCTCAGACGGTTAAGCATCTGCCTTCGGCTCAGGTCATGATCCCAGGGTCCTGGGATGGAGCCTCACATTGGGCTCCCTGCTGAACGGGGAGCCTGCTTATCCCTCTCCCTCTCCCTGCTGCTCCCCCTGCTTGTGCTCTCTCTCTCTCTAATAAAAAATTTAAAAAAATAAAGTAGAAATGACCCTTTCCACACCCAAGGTAGACCTTGCTAATGGATCATGGTATTCTTAGTATTTTCCAGATAGCCACTATTAAACGATCCTATTTAACATTCCTCATGCAGTGACTTCTTAGCTCTCCCACCTTATATCAATTTATTTCTGTACCCACTGCAGACAACAATCACCTGAAAATATCTTTTAGGGTCCTTCCTGAGTCCTGATCATCTTCCATCCTTCATTTCCCAACTAAAAAGCTGGAAGTGGCCCCAATTATGAGAAACACCCCACATGGAGATTATAGCTTATGGAAAAGCTTTACTAGATGCCAGAATGTCCTCCCTAGCCAAGCCAGATCCTTGAGCCTTGAACAATGTTTGTCTTCTATTTGGTCCATATACCGTCAAAATCAGAGAGTCTCAAGCTTTTGATTTCACAGATCAAAAATATTTATTTTAAAGATTTATTCATTTATTAGAGAGAGAAAGCATGAGCGGGAGGGGCAGGGGGAGAGGGAGAAAGAACCTCCAGCAGACTGGAGCAGAGCCCAACGCGGAGCTGGGTCTTACAACTCGGAGATCATGACCTGAGCCTAAACCAAGAGTCAGACACTTAACCGACTGCACAGCCCAGGTGCCCCTAGATCAAAAATATTTTTAAATCTTTGGGAATATTGATATAAGACTGTTAACTTTCTCTTGTCCAATTAAGGACTTTTTTTATATCCTATCTATTATGACAGTCGTTTCATTGAAGTCATATTTTAATGCTCAGTAAGTAGAAAGGACATTGTATGAGTTTAGGTATATAGCTATAGGCTCCGATACGATGACAGGGAGACCCATGAATAGACTGGGACAAACAAGTCTGCAGGGTGTGTCTCATGTAACAGGTTGGGAGTAGGCAGGCAGTGCGGGGCTGGGGCGACAACTCTGCCATCCTCACCACTTTACTCCAGTTATTGCAATTTTCTAGCCACAGAAGGGAAGTGGGAGTGGTGCTAAGAGAGTCTGGGGTGTGCATCTTCAGGGAATGACCCAGAAGAAGAGAGAGGAGGCTAGAAGCTAAAAGCAATTAGCAATCTCTGTCACAGACATAATGCATAAAGGATAGTTCTTACCGAAACATAACCTTCCTTACAAATATGTATGCGTATACATACATGTGCCTACAAACACATACATATTCTCATTATTTTTCTCATTTCATGATGGACCTTAAAAATTTTCCACAGACCTGCAGAGGTCCAGTGCCAGTGTTAGACTCTCAATGGCCATGGGTTTCCTGGGGCAGGTGGAAATGGCAGGGACACCAAGAGTCAGACCTCCACTAAGTCCAACCCACCATGACTTCCCTCTCTCTCCCAACCCTCTCCTAGTACCTGGACTGCCAAGGGTGAAAAATAGTGCAACAATGTGGAGAAGCATGAGGACACGCAGTGTCCGTAAACCCTGAACCATTACCTCCCTTCCTAGGAAACTTAGAATTCCTGAGTGAAGCTTATATAGTGGTACTAGACTAATTCAAGAAACCAGTAAAAAAAAAAAAAAAAAGTTTTTAATACTTTGAAATGTAATGTCATGGCAGCCATCCAAACTAAGACTGGAAAAAAGGGATTTGTTAATAAAATGCAATTTAAAAAGAGTTAAAGAGGGGCGCCTGGGTGGCTCAGTTGGTTAAGCGACTGCCTTCGGCTCAGGTCATGATCCTGGAGTCCCGGGATCGAGTCCCACATCGGGCTCCCTGCTCAGCGGGCAGTCTGCTTCCCCCTCTGCCCTCTTCCCTCTCCCCTCTCGTGCTCTCTGTCTCTCATTCTCTCTCTCTCAAATAAATAAATAAAATCTTAAAAAAAAATAAAAAATAAATAAAAAATAAAATAAAAAGAGTTAAAGAACCTCTCTTCCTCTAAAGGCTGCCATAATGTTACATTATTCTTAATGCCTCTTAAATGACCCGGGTAAGTGCTCATTAATCATGTGTTGCTTTGCATTTACTAACAGGACTGGCACCCTGGAACTCGGGGATAAATTACTTGCAATAGATAACATCCGGCTGGACAACTGTTCAATGGAGGATGCAGTTCAGATCCTCCAGCAGTGTGAAGACCTGGTGAAGCTCAAAATCCGCAAGGATGAAGATAACTCAGGTATTGACAGCTTCCTTAGTTAAGACTGATTTCTCTAACTGCGCATCTGTCACAGAAGATACTAGATCTTGATGTTTTACATACAACAGCTGGCTAGTGACATTGCAGCAGTGTTTTACATAGTTAAAAGGGTCTTTAAATTGTGTGTTGAGAGTGTAGTATGAATTTTAAATAATGGTGCTTTTAATGATATAGTTAAGATATTTTTATTATAAAGCATTATTACGGCAGTATCAAAATTATGTTCAAAAATGAAAACTAAATCGTCACCCAGTACTACCCTAATACAATCTTTGGGAATATTGATATAAGACCAGTTATTTTTTTTAAAGATTTTATTTGTTTATTTGAGAGAGAGAGAGAGAACGAGCAGCGGGGAGGAGCAGAGGGAGAGAGAGGGAGAAGCAGACTCCCCACTGAGCAAGGAGCCTGATGCGGGACTCAATCCCAGGACCCTGAGATCATGACCTGAGCCGAAGGCAGATGCTTAACCGATTGAGCCACCCAGGTGCCCCAGAACCAGTTGTTCTCTAGTTGATATTTATATTACATAATTATAGCCATAGTGCATGTTATAACTTCTTAAGCACGTTACAACTTTTCAAACACTTAATACCTATCATTTTTTTATTTACTGCCTGTAATTTATTTATCATTTTTCTCTTCTTACTTAGATTGCTTCCAATTGTTTCACTATCATAGATAGTACAATCACGGACATCTTTATGTATGGATATCTTTACTCAACTTTTCTTCTTCTTCTGAATTATTTCCTAGGAAATATTTTTAGAAGCCGAATTACTGAGTAAGAATAAAAAGGAACTTCTTAGGATTCCTGACAAGTGCTGTACCATGTTGTTTTCTAAAAGGGCTATATCCATTTGTAGGGTTTCCAGTAATGGATGAATACAGTGGGGCAGTGCTTCTCAAACTTTCTTAGGCCTCAGAATCACCTGAAGAGCTTGTTAAAACACAGTTCTGGCCGTTACTCCCAGATGAGGCCTGAGATTCTGCATTTCTAACAAACTTCCTGATAATACCACTACTGTGGTCCAAGAAACACAATCTGAGCAGTCCGGCTGAAGCCAGCTTCTTTGCTATGAATATCATTCTGCTGATCATAGTTATAAGTCTTTTTACTTGTTTTTGGCCTAAGCCTTATATGTAATATATAGTTTGTATTTTCCAGTTTTGATTTTTTTTTGTTTTGTTTTAATACAGTGAAAATTTAAAGAATTTAAAATAATCTGAATGTTTACTCCAGTTAGATTTTTATTTGCCCAATGTTTTCAAGTTTTTTCTCTACAGAATTAGAAGATTTTTGCTTAATGACTCCCCTTATTGAATTTTTCCAAAGCATTTGATTCTGTTTTCATAGAACCACTATACTCATGTTTCGTAGGTTATGTAAGATCCATTAAATTACATAGCTACAAAAACTAGTAAAACTGACATAAACAGGCTTGGGAATAAACAAAATTGACTCTAAATTTTTAAGCTTACAACTCAATTGTTAGCAGGCACAGAGGTGCACAGAGGTACTAGAAAGAAAGAGCTATTACTCTAGGGCATTCAATGGCATTAGTAGGTATATTTTACAAAGAAGATAGAGAACCACAATTAATCCAGTAATGGCTAAAGAGAGATTGGTTAAGAGAGCTTCTACTATATATAATTTAATTCCAACCAATGATGAGTTATTGTCAGTGTTCTGGAATCTTCTATAATTAAGCCATCTAGATCTAGAGTTTATGGTCATGTCAGCCATGTGTTTTTGATTCCTATACAAAGTCTAAACAAGTTGGTAGTTGCATCCATCGGTACAGCTGGTAAAGATGATTGTATCCAAATATATTTTATAACCAACGCTTAAAGATTTCCACTTGTTATTTCTCAAGCAACTGGTTTTTTAAAAATTTTTTATTGTTATGTTAATCACCATACATTACATCATTAGTTTTAGATGTAGTGTTCCATGGTTCATTGTTTGTACATAACACCCAGTGCTTCATGCAGAACGTGCCCTCTTTAATACCCACCACCAGGCTAACCCAGCCTCCCAACCCCCTCCCCTCTAGAACCCTCAGTTTGTTTTTCAGAGTCCATTGTCTCTCATGGTTCGTCTCCCCCTCCGATTTCCCCCCCTTCATTCTTCCCCTCCTGCTATCTTCTTCTTTTTTTTTCTTAACATATATTGCATTATTTGTTTCAGAGGTACAGATCTGAGATTCAACAGTCTTGCACAATTCACAGCGCTTACCAGAGCACATACCCTCCCCAGTGTCTATCACCCAGTCACCCCATCTCTCCCACCCCACCCCCACTCCAGCAACCCTCAGTTTGTTTCCTGAGATTAAGAATTCCTCATATCAGTGAGGTCATATGATACATGTCTTTCTCTGTTTGACTTATTTCACTCAGCATAATACCCTCCAGTTCCATCCACGTCGTTGCAAATGGCAAGATCTCATTCCTTTTGATGGCTGCATAATATTCCATTGTATACATATACCACATCTTCTTTATCCATTCATCTGTCGATGGACATCTTGGCTCTTTCCACAGTTTGGCTATTGTGGACATTGCTGTTATAAACATCGGGGTGCATGTACCACTTCGGATCCCTACATTTGTATCTTTGGGGTAAATACCCAGTAGTGCAATTGCTGGATCGTATGTCTCTATTTTCAACTTTTTGAGGAACCTCCATACTGTTTTCCAGAGTGGCTGCACCAGCTTGCATTCCCACCAACAGTGTAGGAGGGTTCCCCTTTCTCCGCATCCTCGCCAACATCTGTCGTTTCCTGACTTGTTAATTTTAGCCATTCTGACTGGTGTGAGGTGGTATCTCATTGAGGTTTTGATTTGGATTTCCCTGATGCCAAGTGATGTTGAGCACTTTTTCATGTGTCTGTTGGCCATTTGGATGTCTTCTTTGGAAAAATGCCTGTTCACGTCTTCTGCCCATTTCTTGATTGGATTCTTTGTTCTTTGGGTGTTGAGTTTGATAAGTTCTTTATAGATTTTGGATACTAACCCTTTATCTGATATGTCATTTGCAAATATCTTCTCCCATTCTGTCAGTTGTCTTTTGGTTTTGTTGACTGTTTCTTTTGCTGTGCAAAAGCTTTTTATCTTGATGAAGTCCCAATAGTTCATTTTTGCCCTTGCTTCCCTTGCCTTTGGCAATGTTTCTAGGAAGAAGTTGCTGCAGCTGAGGTCAAAGAGGTTGCTGCCTGTGTTCTCCAACACTGCATTCTTCTCCTTACAAACTGCTTCAATTGCACTTTCTTTTAGGGATTTATTTCAAAAAAGAATAAAGCCTCAAGCATCAGTCTGGGTTCTGTCCTAGTGAAGAAGCAAAGCTCTGTGGAGAAACCCATTTTTCATGATTTGCCAAACTAAGCAGATCTCAGCTACCTTCCATGCAGAGTGAAAAAGCCAAGCCAGAGATGAATATGTATAGTGCCCACAGTTGGCGATTTTCCCAGTTCCAAAGCCAGGCTGTGCAGATATGTCAGGCGGGAGGAGTTTCAGAAACAATAACTGAACACTTGGACAGCCAGATCTTACTTTCAATTGCTTCTTCCCTTCAGCTTATTTTTTCTTCTGTAGACCTTTCCCTCTACAATCCCTATGCCTATATACTATGGTAATTCTCTTGCTTATTAAGTTTTGGGGTTTTTTTAATTTTTAGGAGGTCTTACTTTTAAAATCCTAAATCCTTCCATTGAAAACCATGCACCTACCCAAAATAAGACTGTAAATATAGGTGTGAGATACATATTTACCCAAACCAGATTTCCTCAAATTGGTATATGAAAACAATATACTCATTCAGATATGTTTTTATAACAGACCACAATTTGAAAATTACCATCTCATCATTGATTTGGAAGAATCTGAGTGTTTCTATATCCTCTTCCAATATGAGAATATAAGTATAATTTGAGTAACTGAATTCTCTTTTATTCAGAGCAGAGGAAGGAGTGGAGGAGGACATAATTCAAAATGAATGCGTTCAAGGCAGACTCTGTGGTCATAAAGAGCACATGCTGTAAAATCAGACCTGAGTTTAAAGTCCAGCTCTACCACATTTGAGCTATGTGAGTCTGGGCAAGTTACTTAACCAGTCTGAGATTCAGCTCCATTTTCAGTAATGTGCACATAGTAATACCCACCTTAGGGAGCAGTTGTAACTTATTAATAGAAATGTTTACATTTGGTATTCAACACATGGAGACTATTTTTATTACTATTACATCCTAAAATCCCTTTCCCCGCCTTTGTTCTTATCCTTCATCAAGACTTAAATGAATGGGAAATAACCACTAATCATTACAACAGTCACTGATTTTGGAAGTTTGGTACTGTGCTTAATCTGAAATTAAACTGGTGATTTGAATTATTACCATCCTTTGTCTCAGTATTTTAAAACGGCAATATTCAGTATATAGTCTTCACCCCCTAAAATGTTGTTCATACTAATATCAGACTGTCTATACTCCAGGAGTCTTCCAGTTCTTCCCTTAACTATCTGCCCCTCTCCGTCTTGCTTCTCTCATCAGTTACAGAAAGTTTATAAGCATACTCGATATAACTTGGTTTCCTAAGCTAGCAATACTGCAGTTCAATACTGCTTCAAAATGTGAGCCCATCTTCCAGCTATACTAATTGCATTGTTCTGCCTTGTCCCTTACCCAAGGAGATGGTAGAACTACTCTCAGAAGTCGTTCAAGTCTTTGTTTTTCATTCAGTCATGCCATCAGTATTTATTTGGTGTCTATGAAGTGTTAGGGTCAGCCAGGTCTTAGATTAAAAAAGATACAATCCCTGCCCCCAAGTCAGTCACCACCTAATATGAGATACAGAAGAAAATAAGTAATAATATGATGAATGTTCTAGGTGTAAGCACAAAATGCTAAGAGAATGTGGGGGCATCCATTTGAGCCTGGGGAGCTAAGGAAATGCTTCTAACAACCTTGGTCTTGAAAGTGTTT